TTGTACATTCATTGCCCTCATCATTCTCAAAACATTTTCTCTCCACTTAAACCCCCGGCATTAGGTCCTCATTTTTCCCCTCCCTCCCCGCTCCCCACTCCCTCATGAACCCTTTGATAGTTTATAAATTGTTATTTTGTCATATCTTGCCCTGTCTGACGTCTCCCTTCACTCACTTTTCTGTTGCCCGTCCCCCAGGGAGGAGGTCACATATAGTTCCTTGTAATCGGTTCCCTCTTTCCTACCCACTCTCCTTCTACCCTCCCAGTATCACCACTCACACCACTGGTCCTGTAGGGCTCATCCGCCCTGGATTCCCTATATTTTCAGTTTCTATCTGTACCAGTGTACATCCTCTGGTCTAGCCAGGCTTGCAAGGTCGAATTCGAGTCATGGTAGTGGGAGCGGGGAGGAAACACCTAATGTAATTTTTGCTACTGTTATGAATCACAGGCTGAGAACCACTGGTTTAGAGGCTGGCCATGCTGGGTTTGAATACTGACCAGGCCACTTCTCAGCCATGAGGGACTGGCTGAACTTCTCCACCAGAAGGATAATTATACGACTGCCTGGCTTGGATACAAGGATTCAATGACATCATTTTTGAGTCTGCGCTGTGGCCTGGCTTGGAAGCATCAACTCCCGAAAAGGCAGGGTGGGGTTCCTCTTCTAGGATCCCAATGCACCCATCCCATGCACACGTACCGGGCTGGCCTACCACTCGTTTTCTCGATCTGGTTCCTGTGTGGCCTCGGTCAGGACCTCATGAGAGAGCCTCACAATTACCCAGGAGGCAAGACGGTGGTGGAGAATGCTCATCCCATTTCTCATCAGAAGAAACTGAGACTCAGAGAGGCGAAGTAAGTACCCCACGGTCACCCAGCCTGTTGAAATCCAGGGCCAAGGCCTCCCTCCCCAAGCCTGACTCCAGTGTTCTTTCACTACCCCAGGCCACCTTTCAAACAAAAGAATGAAAAAGGCCAGTCAGTTGAGGCCCCAGAAGGCCCAGGAGAAAGAATTGACCAGGTAGATCACACCTCCTGGTGGGAAAACCCTTCAGGTATGCCCTGTAAGTAGTTCGGATTCTTAAAATTCACTGCACTGACTTGGGGCTAGGCCCCCCACAGAGAGAGGAGGGGCTCTTCTCCTGGCTCCTTGGTAAGAAGCACTTTCAGGAGGAGAGAATCCTAGTCTCCACTGCCCACCCCCACCCCTACCCCCCATCAAGGTGGCAAAGCACTTAAAGGACCCATCAGAGGACTGAGGGCGGGCTTGGCAGCCAGAAAAAGCATATTCCGTGCCAACCATCCCTTCGTATTTGGATGATGAGATTGAAGCACCCGTCATAGTTGTAATTCACACCACAGAAAAGTAAAGCTTGACAAAGCCCCTTGGCTGGGAGAGACCTGTGGAGGCCCGGGGAATTCTTAAACAGGATTAAGCATCCTACCCTATTGAATTCCGGGGCCTGAGACTGGAAGCTTAAGTGGGTTGCAAGCTGCAGCACTAAGAGCCGGTTAAGGTGCTCCAAGTTTTGGAGCCTGTGTCGAATTCTCTTGATGATTCTTAATTATTGAAAGAGAAGTTTATGTGTGATATGAAGTTGGAATTGTATGTTCATTTTAAGGCCTCTCCTTACACACACACACACACACACACACACACACACACACACACTCTCTGTCAGGCTGTCCCTGGTTCTGCAGCCTCCATGGCCTGGGAACCCCCAAGAGAACCACCTGCTGCTCCAGCCTCCCCAAGTCCATCCTGGCCCTTTACAAACCACTACTAGGTGTGAGCACTTCCTCCTCGCATTCCAGCCCTCTCCCCCTATCTTCACGGCCAAGTTCCTTTCAAAGACCTGCTCCTACCTTCCTCTCTTCCTCCTTTCTCACACCCCCTCTGCCACTCCCTTAGCAGGGGCCAGGCTCCAGAGAGCCCAGGGTCAAGTCCAGGGGCGTGCTGGTCTTCTGGTAGAGCGAGTAGGGTGCACAGTGTCTGGAGTGCCAATTTGCTCTTAGCCTGTTTCTGCTGACCTTGCCTATTTTTCTTCCTACCCTATTCTTCATTCATCAAATTATTAAGACTTGAGCATACTAACAATTTCTCAAAAATATCTTCTTTCTTTTCCACACCACTGGCCTATCTATGGTCAGGGCTGGATCTTGTCACACATGCCCAGCATAGTACCCGGTATCTGGTAGATATTTGATAAATGTGCCCTTCCTTGACACTCTATCAGTCTGAGTCTCTATGCCCCAAGGCACTTTCTGCCCAAGAAACTGTGGTCCCCAACTCTGGGGCTCACTCTCTCTGCCACCTCTCAAGGCCCACACTCACCCGAGACCTGGGCTTTCTCGGGCTCTTGACCCCCCCTCCCAGGCTTTAGTGCTTCCTAAGCTTTGCTGCCACCTTTTCAGTAGAAAACCCTTGTACCCACCCCGTCTTTTCCCCTTTCCTCTGGAGACCAATGTGAAGAATTCCTCTGTGGGCTTAGCGGCAGACTGGACACAATAGGCTAAAAGCAGTGGTTCTCAATCTTCCTAACGCCACGACCCTTTCATACAGTTCAAGTTGTGGTGATCCTCCAATCATAAAATTATTTTCGTTGCTACTTCATAAATGTAATGTTGCTGTTGTGAATCAAGCGACCCCTGTGAAAGGGTTGTTTGATCCCTAAAGGAGTCATAACCCACAGGTTGACAACGGCTGGGCTAACGGATCAGTGAATTTGAAAACGAGCGGAGCGGAGGAGAGGGAACAGGGCATCTGAAACTTACAGGACAGCCTCAAATGGTTCAACATACACCTAATTGGAGTCCCATCGGTTTGGTGCAATGAAAAGAGCTTTTCCCACCTCTTGTTCTACAGCGATTTGACCTGTGTCTTCTTCCTTTTCGTTGGGAAAACTACCGAGGCTATCCCGGAAGGATAGGGCTGGAGCGGGAGGAGGAGAGCGAGGGCAGGTGTGTGTCTCAGGGGTTAAGGCCATGGGTTTCAGGAGACAGCCTTACACCGACGCCCTTGGTGCCTTGCTAACTGCATGAACTTCCAAGAGCAAAGCACTCCGCATGCTGCCATCGAGTTGCTTCGGACTCCCTGTAACCCTACAGGGCAGAGGGGCATGGCCCCCTGGGTCTCCCCGACTATGGAGTAGACAGCCAACAGGGTGGCTTTGTGTTCAAACTGCTGACCTGGCCAATGCACAACGCACGATGCCACCAAGGCTTAGGTTCTCTAATCTCTCTGCACTTGTGTTCTCAGTAGAACCTTCTCTGTGAGGAGGCAGGGTTGGGGGACCCCCCCCATTGTGCCTACTTGTTCACTTGAGGTATAGGACTCAGTAAAGCAGGGCTTTACTATGGTGGCCCCGACAAGCTTTTTCAATTCTTATTATGAATCACTGTTCTCTCACCACCATCAGTCGACCAGACATTGTTCTGTCCAAGTTACAGGATTGCTCCTGTCTTCTTTGAAGCACCAAGCGAATGGGAGGCCTGCCCCCTGCGCCAAGATGAGGAAGGGGGAAGTTTTATGAACAGCAACCGAAAGGCAGGGAGCTTCACCACCCAGACAGGCCTTCCTCCAGACAGGGACCATCTGAGTAGCTCAGTGGAAGAGGACAGAACAGGTCGGCCACTGAGCTGAGCTCGGGCCCTGGCCGGTGGCTGCCGCCTAGCAGGAGGCTAACGCCAAGCATGATCTCAGCTGCGTCCCCTGCACGAGCGGAGGACACCCCTGCCACTACTCTGCATCGCAAATGCACGCGGTGAACTGGTGCGACACAGAGGAATTGCTATTGATTTTCACTTGTGCAGACTGACCTAACAGCGGCTATTCGTCAAGTGCCTGTCTGCCTCTCTGCTCCGGATGCTCATCCTCGCCATGGGCAAATAAACTGCACTGGCACCGAGGGCAATTTGTCAGGGTCCAGCTGGGCTGGGGCCCTGGCTTTCATTGATGGGCTCTATGCCAGGCTTGGCTAGGATCAGCCACTGTTCTCCCATTGATTAGCAACGTCATGGAAACAGCTTGAGGGTAACTGACAGCCACTGCCAGGCTAGGAGCTGGTTGATTAAGAGGCTTCCAGGAGCCAGGCCCTTGAGCAGGGCTTGACAGCAGCTTCCTGACTGGCTGCTGAGCTCTCTAACCTTGGCATCGTGGTTCTGCATTGGGCTGCTGGCCACAAGGTGAGCAGTTTGAAACCAGCAGTCTCTCCTAGAAAGAAAGATGAGACTTTCTACTCGGTATAAAGTTACAGCCTCAGAAACCCACAGGATCGGTTCTTCTCTGCACTATAGGGTTGCTATGAGTTGGAATCGATTCGATGGCAGTGAGAGAGATGTGCCCCTGGTAACGAGGAGGCCGGAGTCCTTTCTGGCACTGCCTCTGGTGCTGGTGAGGTGTCCTTGGACCAGCTGTGATGACAAACCTGTGTGACTCTAAGCTTCTCCCATGGCCAAAGGTAGAATGAAGTGTCCGTTCTTATCCTGCTATTTCCCACGCTGTGGCCTGGGAGCCCCTTTGTGGACTGAATTCTGCCCCCTCAAATGGGGCTTACAAACCCTAACCTCTGTGCTGATCGTGACCTTCCCATTTGGCAAGGGGTTATCTTGATTATGGTAATGAGACAGGGTGTCTTTTGAGTCAATCTCCTGATAAAACAAGCAAGTGGAGGAGACCACACTCAAACGCACTGCCGTCCAGTCAATTCAACTCGCAGTGACCCTACAGGGCGGAGGACAACTGCTCCTGCAGGTGTCTGGCACTGCCCATCGTTAGGGGGGCAGACGCCTCACCTTCCTGCCATGGAGCAGCTGGTGGTTTTCTGCTGCCCAATGCCAGGAGGGGTGAATGAGAGCAAGGGTGCACAGGGGCGGGGAAGCACATCTTGGTCATCTCTCGAGCGAAGCTGCCATTGGAGAACGGGGCAGCAGGGGCGTGGGGCATGCACACACATCAGGGGCCATTGATCAAAAGCTTCAAAAACTGGACTCACAGGCCGTTCCTTTTGCTTTAATAGGCAAGGTTCCTGCAGTCCAGGGGAAAGAGGAGGTGGGGTCTTGCTGCATGAGGTTTGGGGCTTGTTTGGGGGCTCAGCGCTGTCCGTTTCCCACAAGCAGACGGGCAGGTGCCTGCTCGAGGGCCTCGGGGTCCTCCATGGTGGGAGAAGGCACTGTGTGTTCAGCAAGAAGGCGCTCACCCGACCGGCTGCTGGGTGGACAGCGAGGCCTTCCGTGGGACTGGGAACACGGCCGCCTGCTGGTACTGGCAGCCTCAGGATGGGATCATGCCTTTGCTTCTCTTTCGGTCAGCCATGGTCCTCCGGTTGTGATTGGCTCGGGTCGCCTTGTTGGCTTCCTTTTTCCTGCGTTCCTGGGTTGTGTCCCGGTTCTGCCCATGGCCCCGGGGGCTGCCAGCCACTGCTGCTGAGCTGTCATGCCGGTACCTAAGTGAGAGACAACCCAGCCCCAGGAGAGCCCGTCAGGTGGAAGTGGGCCTCAGAGATCGCTGCAAGAGGACACAGGCTCCAGCCAGGGCACCCATGTCCCCACAGCAGGCTAGGCTACGAGGGAGGAAGAGGTGAGGGGCTGGTTACAGATTGGTTACAGATGAGCCAATTACTCTGCCCTGCACTCCAGACCCTTCCAGACCCCTCAATGGCTAGGATACATCCCAGCTCTGTGCTCAGGGGCTACGATGGAAGAGGAGTCAGAGGTGTGCTGCCCCTGCTCAAAGGGGTTCTGTGGCTCCCCCCAGCCTTCAGAATGACCCCTTCCCTCTGGGGCCAGCCCCTCTGCGGTCAGCAGGCAGGACGTGCTGTGGGGTCCTAGCGCCAGGGGACAACCTGGTTTGGTCTTATGAGGAAGAGCAACTCAGGCACACCTGTGGGCCCTCTGACCCACTTCCTCAGAGGAAGACGGGGGCTGGGGAGAGGGGGTCTCAGGCGACCCTTTTCCACCTGCCCCCGCCACGCTCACAGATTCCCCTCCCTGGTCCGACCCTATACACATTCTCTTCCTCTCTGCTCATTATGGGCTGTTGCTGCATCTCACACGACAGACTCTTTCATGCCTTTCAGTCCTGACAGCCGTGTGTCTGTCTGTCTCTGTCGCACCTCACCCCAGTGAGCGAGCCATGGCCACAGGGCAGCCTCGGCACTGGCTGAGCAACCCCTGGTGTGTGTCAAGCCATGCTTACAGCATGGACCCCAGAGCTGGGTCACCGGGTTCAAATCTCCCTCCACCACCTACCAGTGGTCTGACCTTTGACAGGCGCCTCAGCGTCTCTGGGCCACCTCAGTGTCCTCATCTGGATGGCAGTAGTAACCGTGCATCTAACTCAGGGTGCAGTCTCCCCAACCAGGGCCCCTCCCACCAGCATCAGCCCCTTGCATGCTCACCCTCTCCTGGCGAGGAAGGCCATGCGCCTGGCTTCCGCCTTCTCCCGCAGCACTGCAGGGTCCTGCACGAAGTGATCAGGCTGCAGGGGAGGAGTGGAGACAAGAGTTGACTCCTGAGGCAGCCCATTCCCTCAGTAGCAGCCTGGTGCCCAGGCCAGGCTGAGCCAGCCTGCAGCCCAGCTTTTCTGGGGAACCCCTCTCCTCCCACCTGCCCGGAGGCTCCACAGAGGATGGCTTCCATGGGAAGCCACCATGGTCTAGCACAGCAGGAGTGCGGCCCCTGGAAGCCAGCCCTCTCCTGAGAGCAGGCAGCTTTCTGTAGAGAGTGGCAGGAGGCTGGATCAGCACAGCGAAGGGCCAGTGTTTACGCAACAAGAAACAAGCCCAAATGAGCACCATTTGGGAGCTGGCAGGTTTTCCGTGAAAATTGGGCTGCCCTTCCTGGAAAGGAGGAAGCCACCGGGAGCTGGGGAGTTGGGGGGGCCCTGCTCTCCTCATGGGGAGCTCTGTCAGCCGGGGACCAAGGGCCTGGGAGGGCAGAAGTGGTGGGGCTCCAGACAGCTGCTCCCTTCAACCAAGGGGGCCCTGTCTTTACCTATGTTAGATCTGGAGGTTTCTAGAACTTTTCATTGGGGAAAAAAAACAAGCCCCAAAAAGATTCCATTGGGGGAAAAAGCTCAGTGGCCCAAAACATGCAATTTTGAAGCCCCCTGGGCTGGACAATCTTTTCGGGCTTCTGGCGAAGGGCTGCCTGCCCCTCGTCTGCCCCCGGTGACTGGGCCTGGGCTCAGTCTCGTGCTGCCTGTGCTTTCCCAGAGACAGCCTTCTCTGTCACACAGGGATGTCGAGCGGCATGGAGACCAGATGCAGGGACGCAGGGGCTACAGCTGGCTCCTCTGCCCACCCTGCTACCTGCCACAGAGGTACCTTGGGGGCCTCCTCTTCAGCCTCCTCCTCATCGTCGTCCTCCTCCTGGGCTTCCCGGGACACTCTGGCTCTCAGCACCTGAGGGGTGGTGAAGGGCCTGGTGGAGGGAGAGAGTTGGTTTGGAGAGAGTGTGGAGGAGGAGGGAGTCCCCTGGGGAGAGGGCACAGCTCGGGAGTGAGTGGGCACAAGCCAGAGCACATCGATGACGCTCTTCCTGCCAGCTCTGCTCCAGCCCCACGGCTTTCCGGGGTGGCAAGGGCCAGACTCAGGACCCTTGTTTTGATCTGAGCTGAGCCTGTTAGTCTCTGCATGAGGAGTCTCCACCTGAGGTTTTTATGCCATTAAGAAACTATTGAGGAAGACCCAGTCCAGGGGACTTTGAAAAGTTTGTGGGAAAATGAAGTGAAAAGATAAAGAGGGGAGGGTAGGTAAAGGATTGGGGAGGGGGTGAGTGGTGGGAAGAGTTGAATGTAGAGTCGATGGTGCGAAATGTAAACCCCTTCACCTAAGAGACACACACACACTTCATTAAAAAAAAAAAAGGTAAACATTTCCATAAACTTTTGCAACCCCTCATGAATGCTGCCTTATTCAGGGATAGGCTGGGGGGAGAGGGCACACTGGGTGATGGGTCAAGGGTCTGCTTCTGCCACGAATTGGCTATGTGACGGGGACCTTGGTTTCCACGAGAGCCTACAGTTGGACAGGCTGCTGGCCAGGAAGCTGCTGGGCCCCCAGAATCCCACTGGCCCCTCGCCTCACCTGCGGCTGATGAGCTCGTCGTCCGAGTCCACGTCATTGGCGCCCACCTGGTTGCCATCGTATGTGTCATCGTACTCATCCTCGTAGTCGTCACGGTAGGGCTGGCCCTCCCCTGGCTGCAGCGGCACCTGTGGCAGCCAGAGGACGGGCTGGAGGGCTCCGGGCCGGCGGGGCCACCTTCCCCCAGCCCAGAGGACCTCCAGGGACTGCCCACCTCTTCCACCACCACGCTGTACTGCTCGTAGCGCTGCCGCTGCTCTGCGACCGCTCGCTTATCGTTTAGCAGGCTCCGCGCCGTCTCCTCCTTCCTGGTGCCCACAAGAGAAACAGGGGAGAGGGGCGAGAACACCTTTAGGGCCAGGGAGCCACGGGCTCGCTCCTCCAAGACGATGGATGCCCTCAAGCGCTGGTGAGGGGGTGAGGGACTTTCACATGATGATGCCTGTGCACATGCAAATGGCTCTGAGAGGGGACCCCCAAGGGCAGCTACCCACCCTTTCAACGGCGGGGTGGCCCTTCAGGAAGCGCTGGCTGAGTGCAAAGAGAGGTCTGCCAGGGACTGCCGTTCCAGTGAAGAATGGAAAGCAAGCTAACGGCCCTCCCAGCGCGCACAGGGCTCCATCTGTGCTGCAGAGCACCGTGAGGCGGCTCTCAGAGCGGCAGCAGCATGCTGGGACTGACGGGGAAAGGGTGCTCCAGCTTAAGTGCCTACGGTGTGATCCCATCTGGGCCGGCAGCAGAGAGCAAAGCAAACCGATGCACAGCCTGGCGCAGCTGTGATTCGGCCCCAGTGGCCGCCACCCCGTGGAGGACAACGGAGGGCATCACTGCCCAAGCCCACACCAGCTGTCTGCTCAAGCCCACTGTGGCAGCCACGGTGGAGTTCCGATAGAGGGAAAATCAATACAAGACATAACAGAATTTAACATCTTGCTTGTTAAAAATCCAAACTGTAAGAGTTCCCTCCCTGACAATAAAAATGTCTTTTCAAGCTTAATCAACAGGGCTATTCGGACTCTCTGTAAAGAGATAAGGAAGCAGCAAGGGCATTAAGAGGAGTAAGACAAGACACATCCCCCCACCTTAGATAAACAAGGGCGCAGGAAGCTTTGGGGGGCAGGGTTGGTCTCATAGCCCCTGGAGAAATGTAGCTGCAGTTTCCTAGTGATCGCTGTGAGGTGTGCTTGCTTAGAGAACCCACTGCACCCTGTGAAGTTGTCAAAACCTGCTGGTCTCGAGATGCTCACCTTCCTGACCTGATCGCCGAAGACAAATGGGTCCACAC